TTGTTCAATTCCCACCTAGGAGTGAGAACATGCGGTATTTGGTTTTCTGTATATTCTGTATATTTCTGTATATAAAAACATGCGGTATTTGTTTTGGTATATGATCATTTCCAGCTGCATCCATGTCCCTACAAAGGACAGGAGCTCATCCTTTTTATGGCTGCATAGTATTCCATGGTGTATATGTGTCACATTTTCTTAATCCAGTCTGTCATTGATGGACATTGGGGTTGGTTCCAAGTCTTTACCATTGTGAATAGTGCCACAATAAAAATACGTGTGCATGTGACTTTATAGCAGCATGATTTATAATCCTTTGAGTATATACCCAGTAATGGGATGGCTGGGTCAAATGGTATTTCTAGTACTAGGTCCTTGAGGAATTGCTACACTGTCTTCCACAATGGTTGAACTAGTTTACAGTCCCACCAACAGCGTAAAAGTGTTCCTATTTCTCCACATCCTCTCCAGCACCTGCTGTTTCTGACTTTTTAATGATCGCCATTCTAGCTGGCAGCACCATTTTTTCAGCAACAGTTACCCATGTCCTGTCTCTCTGACTTTTTGGTAATTCTCTCAATATTTTAAACTTTGCATTATTATTAAATTTGCTATGGTGATCTGTGATCAGTAATCTTCGATGGTGCTAGTGTAACTGTTTTGGGGAACCACAAACTATGCCCCTAAGACAGTGAACTTAATTGATAAATGTGTATTCTGACTGTTCCACTGACTGGCCATACTTCCATCTCTCTCTCCCTCCTCTTTAGCTTCCTTATTCTGTGAGACACCATAATATTAAAATTAGGCCAAATCATAATCCTACAATGGCCTCTAAGTGTTCAGGTTAAAGGAAGAGTCACAATCTCCCACATTAAATCAAAAGCTTAAGTGAGGAAGCTTAGTGATTAAGCTTAGTGAGGAAGGCATGGCAAAACCAAGATAGGCTAAAACAGAAGCCTATTGCAACAAACAGTCAAGTGGTAAATGTGAAGAGATAGTTCCTGAAAAAAGTCAAAAGTACTACACTAGTGGACACACAAATGATAAGAAAGCTAAACAGCTTTACTCATGTTATGGAGAAATATTTTATTGGTCTGGGTAGAAGACAAAGCCAACCACAATACTTCCTTAAGCCAAAGCCTAAGCCAGAGCAAAGACCTAACACACCTCAATTCAATGAAGGCTGACAGAGGTGAGGAAGCTGCAGAAGAAGAGTTTGAAGCTGGCAGCGGTTAGTTCATGAGACTTAAGGAAAGAAGCCATCTTTATAACATTAAAAATACAAGGTGGAACAGTAAATGCTGATGTAGAAGCTGTAGCACATTATCCAGAAGATCGAGCTAAGATCATTGACGGAAGTGACTATACTAAAAAATAGAATTTAAAATAGATGAAACAGTTTTCCATTGCAAGAAGATGCCATCTGGACTTTTATAGCTAGAGATGAGATGTAAAGGGCAGGCTTCAAACTTCAAAGGACCTGTTGAATCTCTTGTTAGGGGCTAACACAGCTAGTGACTTAAGTTCAAGCGATTGTTCATTTATCATTATAACAATCCTAGGGTCTTTAAGAATTACGCTAAATCGACGCTGCCTGTGTTCTACCCATGGGAAAACTAAGCCTGGTTGACAGGACATCTGTTTACAGCATGGTTTATTGACTATTTTAAGCCCACTGTTGAGATACAGTGCTTAGAAAAAAAAAAAAAAAGATTCCCTTCCAACTAGTGGTGCGCATTGAAAATGGACCTAGTCACTCAAGAGCTCTGATAAACATATACGAAGATATTAATGTTGTTTTCCTGCTGGCTAACCCAACATCCATTCTGAAGCCTGTGGACCAAGGAGTAAGTTCAACTTTCAAGTCCTAGTACTTAAGAAATACAATGTGTGGCCAGTGCGGTGGCTCACACCTGTAATTCCAGCACTGTGGGAGGCTGAGGTGGGTGGATTATGGGGTCAGGAGATCGAAACCATCCTGGTTAACACGGTGAAACCCCATCTCTACTAAAAATACATAAAATTAGCCGGGCGAGGTGGCGGCGCCTGTAGTCCCAGCTACTCGGGAGGCTGAGGCAGGAGAATGGCGGGAACTCGGGAAGCGGAGCTTGCAGTGAGCCGAGATCGCGCCGCTGCACTCCAGCCTGGGCGACACAGCGAGACTCTGTCTCACAAAAAAGAAAAAAAAAGATAATAATAATAAAATACAGAAATACAAGATTTAAGGCTACAGCTGCCATAAAACAGTGATTCCTCTCAGGGATCTGGGAAAAGTAAAAGTCAATTGAAAATCTTCTGAAAAGGACTCACCATGCTGACGCCATTAAGAATTACTTGTGACTCATGGGAGAAAGTGAAAATGTCAACATTAATAAGAGTCTGGAAGAAGTTGATTCCAGCCCTCATGGATGACTTTGAAGGGTTCAAGACTTCAGCAAAGGAAGTAACTGCAGATGTGGTGGAAATAGAGAGCTAGGATTAGAAATGGAGCCTGAAGAAGTGAATGAATTGCTGCAATCTGATGATAAAACTCTAACAGATGGGAAATTGCTCTTTATGGAAGAGCAAATAAAGTGGTTTCTGGTGGTAGAATTTACGCCTTCTGAAGATGCTTGAAAAATGTTGAAATGATCACCCAAGACTTAGAATATTACATAAGCTTAGTTGATAAAGCAGTGGCAGGGTTTGAGAGGATTGACTTCATTTTCGAAAGATGTCCTGCTCTAGGTAAATGCTAACAAACAGTATTATATGTTATTAGCCTTATAGCATCACCTGCTACACAGAGATCTTTCATGAAAGGAAGTGTTAATTAACAAAGTGCTTCACTGTTGCCTTATTTTAGTAAATTGCCACAGCAAATTCCACCTTCAGCAATCAACATTCTGACCAGTAAGCAGTCATCAACCTCGCAACAAGACTCTTCACCAATGAAGAAAATTACAGCTTGCTTAAAGCTCAAATTATTCCCAGCAATTTTTAGTAACTAAGTATTTTTCAGTTATGTTACATAGACCTTTTAATACATCATGCTTTTGCACACTTAATAGACTACAGTGCCAACATAACTTTTATATGCATTGAAAAACCGAAAACCTGTGTGACTGGCTTTATAGTGATATTTACTTTATTGAGGTGCTCTTGGAACTAAACCTGCAATATCTCCAAGGTATATCTGTATCCAGCTAAAAATACTGATTCATGATATTAGGTTTGGACAGAGTATAGTGAAGTAACAAATATAATTTTGAATATCTAAATATAAGCTAAGTGTATAATATTAATAAAGAAGCTTGCTAGACTTTTTCTTAAACCTAAAAATATTTATTTCTTCTATGTATTCCATGATAAGAAAGTCATGGACGCAACAGTCAGCATCCCTATTTAGGATATGAAAGAAAGATACAGACAATGCAAAGTACAATATTATTCCGACAAGCCTATTAGAAACCCATTCCTTCTTTCAATGCTTGCCCATATATTGAAAAGTTGTGTTATTTCCTCAGGATGTGGTCAGTTAAAAAAATAAAGTTTTGATGATCTTGACCTTTACAGATGCATTTATTGGCAGTAACTTAAATAATGTATTGAATATTTGGTTAATTTTAAAATGCATAATTTTAAGTTTGAATATATATACTTAAAGAAAAAAACTTAAACTCAATTCCATAAATTTATTACTGACAATTTGTTAAGTGTAAACTTTTTTCTATATTTCATTTTATATTCTTAAGAATTAGCACATATATGACTTTTACAATCATTATTAAACAAAAGTAACTGTCTCAAGCAACTGTATATACTAATAATTAAATATTAGTAATGCTCATTGTTGCTTTCTCTTTTATGTTATTTTTTGTTATGCTATGTTTTCAAGTTGTGTTAGTCACACATGTATATTTTTCATTCAGAATTTAAATTTAATTTGTGAGAGTATACACATAAACATGTCTGTTTAAAGTCAGTGGTTTAGCCAACAGATCACCTGGCTGTGTGTCAAGTAAACAAAAATTGTGTTTTTGTTTTTTAATTTTATTTTGGAGTGCGGAGGGATGTCTTCAGGCAGAAGCTTAAATAGCATAAGCTATATACTATGTTGTATGTATAAAATGTTCCTTCACATTAAATATAGAGAATTATGAGTTGGCTGAGGAACTAAAAAATGTCAAGATGAAGCAAAGCAGAAATTACACATTAGTCTGTCATTTACTCATGAACTTCAATCCACTTGTTATGGACTGAACTGCCCGCCTCCTCACTCTGCCCATTCATATACTGAAACCCTAACTTCCAGTGTGAATGAATTTGGAGATAGGATCTTTAAGAAGGTAATTAAGGTTAAATGAGATAATAAGAGTGGGACCTACTCCAACAGGACTGGTATCCTTGTAAAACAAGAGGAAGACACCAGAACTCTGTGTGCGCACAGAGGAAAGGGCATGTGAGGACACAGCCAGAAGGTGGCCAAGTACAAGTTCAGGGAAGGGTCCTCTACAGAAAGCAACCCTGCAGGCACCATGATATTGAACCTCCACCCTCCAGAACTGTAAATTTCTGTGATTTTAACCATCCTGTCCATGGTAATTTATTAAGGTATTCAAGGAGACTACACCCTACACAAAACAAGTTAAATCTAACCTGAGCTTTTCACTAAGGTAAAACACATAACATTTAGTTTAAAACTGCCCAGATGTTTTTATGAAATTGACATCCCTGTCAAGCCACAAATAGCTAGTTCTTCTAAAACAATTTCAAAGAAACTTCTTTATATTGAAATTGATTTAGACAAAGTGATTTAATTACTAACCACTCAGCCATGCAAATATTTGCAGATGTGATGTCTAAATCCTCCTATCAAACAATTCTTTTTAAGTCTAAACAGCCTCAATGAGGATACTTTAAGTTAATGCAGTACGGATACGGATATTAGATGGTATTCTAAAACGTGCATTTCACTTAGTTTATGTAAACTGAATTAGTGAATAAAATGTAGCAACCTTTCAGCAAATAAGACTGTGTGGAAAAGATTCCCAATTTTCCAAACCACATCATAATTTGGAAAGGGTGATGATCATTTTCATAGATTTTTAATATGTTTTGGAAGTTGATACACACATACACGCACTCCAATTAATAAATAAGAAGCATTTTATTCAAACAGTATTTAAAGGCCAATTACTTTGCAATATAAAAATAATTATACAAAATCTTATTTTTAGTAATAAAACAAAAGATAATGAACAAGTAAATTTCATTTATTTTGGAATTTACACTAGAATTGTAAAAATCTATCCAAAGGATAGCATTTACACCTGCCAGACTGAAAAGAAAAAAAGCTATAACACATAATAGAATCAATGAAAGTATCAACATTGAAGACAAATTTGTAGCACTCAATAACTATTAAATTACCAATTTTTTCTTTCTAGATTTTCCATATATATACACATATATATATTTTTTCTTTCTTCTTTTTTTTTTTTTTTTTTGAGACAGAGTCTTGCTCAGTTACCAGGCTGGAGTGGCCAGGCTGGAGTGCAGTGGCACAATCTCAGCTCACTATAACCTCCACCTCCCAGATTCAAGCGATTCTCCTGCCTCAGCCTCCCGAGAAGCTGGGACTACAGGCGCACACCACCACACCCAGCTAATTTTTGTATTTTTAGTAGAGATGGGGTTTCACCATGTTGGCCAGGATCACCTGACCTTGTGATCCACCTGCCTCAGGCCTCCCAAAGTGCTGGGATTACAGGTGTGAGCTATGGCGCCCTGCCATGTAATTGTTTTCATTCCTAAAAGTGCATTCATAAAAATAGTGGTCTTTGCTATATAGCCACACTTCTATATAAGTGAACAGACTTTCATACACTCATCATTAGTGAGCCATGATCCAATGGACCTTTAAGTAAATAACTATAAAATATATTCACTATGATTTCTCTCTCTCTCATTGTATACAGGTATATGAAGATATTTAAATATATTCTGAAATAATAGATAGTTGCTAAAATAATACAATTTTTTGAGTATACACGTGGACTTACCTCTAATATCATCTTCCTTCCTGTACTATATGTCTTTAAATTGGTCGTGTTTTTAGCAGGTAAGACTAATTTCTCTCTTCTCCAGTGAATTGATGCTGGTGGATTTGATTTCACATCACAACTTATATTGATAGGATTTCCTTCCCAAGAGTAATAAATTGTTTGGTTTGATATGAACTTGGGGGCATCTGTAATACAATATAATAAAATAATTATAGGCATTTTCTTTAAGTTAAATAATCATTTAAGTAGTATAAGCATTAGTAATCTTTGCTTGACTATAAAAAGAAGCCACATAATTCTAATTTCATGTTTGTTTGTTTTTTTGTTTGTTTGTTTGTTTGTTTTTTGAGACGGAGTCTCCCTCTGTCACCCAGGCTGGAGTGCAGTGGTGCAATCTCAGCTCACTGCAAGCTCTGCCTCCCAGGTTCACGCCATTCTCCTGCCTCAGCCTCCTGAGTAGCTGGGACTACAGGTCCCCGCCACCATGCCTGGTTAATTTTTTGTATTTTTAGTAGAGATGGGGTTTCATTCTGTCAGCCAGGATGGTCTCGATCTCCTGAACTTGTGATCTGCCCACCTCGGCCTCCCAACGTGCTGGGATTACAGGCGTAAGCCACTGTGCCTGGCCTAATTTCATGTATTTAACATAGGGCATCAGAACTCACAAAAATATATGTCATTTGAATACTTTTATCACATAAGTTTAACAAGATTAACATACAAACACTCATAAATTACCAATTATTAAAATGTAAGACAACCAGAGTTAAATCTGCTCTTACTAATCTGACAAAAAATATCTATTGATTATGTTAATGACTACTTGTGTAGAAACTATTTCTAGAACAAACTACCTTATAAAGTGAGAGTTTAGGATAAAATCTAACAAAATAAATGTTTCTTTCCTCACTTTTCATTTTGTTTAAGTCATAGTCACTTTTTTGTATAAATTATTTTGAAGACTCAGGTATGAAATCTAAGTTGGAATGGCCACAATACAACTAAACAACATTTTTTCCCTAAAGTATCCATATTTCCCATTTTTACTAAACCACAGATGTCATAAATTAAGCAACAATTAAACCAGGCACAGAAACACAAATACTGCATAATCTAATTTATACATATGGAATCGAAAACAGTCAAATTCATAGAAAAAGGCAGTAGATTGGTGGTTACCAGAGGCTGTGGTGGTTAAGAGGGATAGAAAGATGTTGGCCAAGGGGTTCAAAGATTCAGTTAGACAACAGAAGTAAGTTTTTGAGATGTATTATACAATAAGATGACAACAGTTAGTATATCACGTGTTTCAAAATGGCTAACACAGTACATTTCAAATGTTCTCATCACAAAAAGTCCTGAGTATGTGAGGTGAAGAATTTAATCATTCCACACTGTTGGACATATATGAAAACATCACATTGTACACACTGTTGAACATATATAAAAACATCACATTGTACCCCATAAATATGTACAACTAAATTAAAAAGGTCTGGAGATGGCACACACATACATACACACACACAATAGTGGATAAAAACAAAATAAAATTTGTGGCTGGTGCTTATAAGCAAAATTTTGTATTGGAAATAGCATTAAACTTGTCATCAAAATTGAGGGCCAACTCTGCCAAGTAGCAAAGATGTGACCTTGAGTTTCTGCTTATCAGTTTGGCCTTTTTTTCTCTTCTTTAAAGAATTTGGGAGTTGAACTAGATAAATTCTTTCCAAATTCCTTAACCTCTAAGAGTTCTTTAAAATGACTCTGGGACAAATTTTAAAAATAAACATGCATATCACTTTTATGATACATAAGGTAGCACTAGACCATATAAAAAGTGGCATTTGCTTTTCTGAAGAATTATGTAAGCTACCTGGGATAATAATTATTTCATGTTTATAGAAGCCTCTGGTGTAGTTTACTACATACACATGCAGGCATTGACATGCATATGTTTGTACAATAAGGTGCCTGTAATCCCTGGTACTTGGGAGGCTGAGGCAAGAGAATCACTTGAACCCAGGAGACGGAGGCTGCAATGAGCCAAGATTGCATCACTGCACTCCAGCCTGGGCGACAAAGTTAGACACTGTCTCAGAAAAAAAAAAAAAAGGTTACTTGGTAAATATTTTAATAACTGAGTATCTTTCAAACAGAGACTACATGAGGGTAAATAATGCAGTGGTCCTTGGTGGTAAATGTATTATCTTAAGACTCCAAAATCTTCTTAATAAGTATATAATTAATAAAAATTGTGCATTACTATATAGAGTGTAAGAAAAGGAATACTGCAAACATTCAAAATATACAAACATACAAAATTTGTAATGTGTCTATAGGCATTAAAAACAAGCAACTATGCTCTTTTAGCTGTTATCACAATGAAACAATCCCTAATGATAAATTATTTAGATTTAATTAAATGGCAGCTGTACAGACAGAAGTCTGACCTAGAACATTTATTCTTAAATCCCTGCCCTTGAATGAATTTCTGACATTACATTGCCAGCATCACATGAAACAGTGACATATGCCAGGATCTGAATCTGTCACCTTCCTCAATGCTTCATTCAGAATAAGCTTATTTTCAGCCCAATCTTTTCCATACTAGGAGATACCAAAGAAACTTTTAAGCATGTCTTTAGACTTGGTACCAAGTTATACTTGTTTTGATAAATGCCCCCTCCCTGACTCTTTTTTTTTTTTTTTCCTTATTGCTGAGACTTGGAGGTGAACTTGGAGTCAGTACTGATCACTGCATTCCCCTGCAGTATGGGATTTCTTGACTTGATTACTTGCTTAATGCAAGCCTTCTACTTTCTTTTGTAATTCCTCCTCTGGCTCTGAAATCTTTTTTCTGAGCCTAGTTCATTTGTGGTTGGTACCTGTGACCTAAGAAAAGTCTTAGTTCTTGATGAGTGCTGGCCTGCATTACTGAATTCTGCCTGTGTCTGAGCAGGGTGAAGCTGATAACGAAGCATAACACAGGCTCTGGGAACTGAAATATACAAGTCTTTGAACTGAATTTCCACTAGGTAATGAATATTAGAACAAGGCAACTCACCATAAAACTCACGATATACAATCCACTTTCTAAATCAAATTGAAAAGGCATTACTAGGGAAATAATTTATAATAAAAAATAAGTTTTTAAAAATCATATTGATAATATGAATAGACATTGTCCATGTAAAACTGTATTATGATTGTGTTGTAGATTATGTCTTACATACTCTTCAAAGCATTCACATATTAGAGTGAAATATCTTCCTCTTTTCCAGTCATAATACTCTGTGGCAAACAATTTTCAAATGCCCTTTTTAATATTATATTTTAAGAACTACAAATAATAGAAATAGTTATTTTCAGAAGTAATAGTGTTACAGTGAAACAGCAAAAGAACTGTCATAACTAACTCCATTTTTGTTTAAGGAGCCTTTATCCATTCTTACATGTAGGTTAGAATAATTTTATAACACTCATAATATGCAAAGACAGCAATCATATAATTTTCAAAACTAATTCTGGGGTTAAAGGAAAAGTATGTAAAAATTAACCATATTTCTCATTAAATATTTATAGGAGCATCATGACTTGACCAAAGACAAAAAGTTTCCAACCCCATTGGATCCTCACTGACACTCAGATGTCTGCAACCCTTGGCCACCTCTTTTTTTTTTTTTTTATTATACTTTAAGTTCTAGGGTACATGTGCATAACGTGCAGGTTTGTTACATATGTATACTTGTGCCATGTTGGCGTGCTGCACCCATCAACTCATCAGCACCCACCCATCAACTCGTCATTTACATCAGGTATAACTCCCAATGCAATCCCCCCTCCATGATAGGACCCGGTGTATAATGTTCCCCTTCCCGAGTCCAAGTGATCACATTGTTCAGTTCCCACCTATGAGTGAGAACAAGCGGTGTTTGGTTTTCTGTTCTTGCAATAGTTTGCTGAGAATGATGGTTTCCAGCTTCATCCATGTCCCTACAAAGGACACAAACTCATCCTTTTTTATGGCTGCGTAGTATTCCATGGTGTATATGTGCCACATTTTCTTAATCCAGTCTGTCACTGATGGACATTTGGGTTGATTCCAAGTCTTTGCTATTGTGAATAGTGCCGCAATAAACATACATGTGCATGTGTCTTTATAGCAGCATGATTTATAATCCTTTGGGTATATACCCAGTAATGGGATGGCTGTGTCATATGGTACTTCTAGTTCTAGATCCTTGAGGAATCGCCATACTGTTTTCCATAATGGTTGAACCCTTGGCCACCTCTTGATCCTAATCCCGTCCTCTTCCCCCTCCCTGCCCTTAACAAAAAAGAGGCTGAAATTTGTACTGACTTAATATGGTAGTTTAGGATGCTAGTCCACCATTTTCTTGGTTTGCTGGCTCTCAGAATAAATCTGCTTTTCCTCCCGCCAACGCTCGTCTCTTGTGTTTGGCTTTCAAGTGGTGAGCAGCTGAACTTAGATTTGGTTATAATATAGTGTCAATTTTAAAAGCTTTGTCATTGATTTCTCACCACTAAAGCAGAATATATAGAAATACCATTCATGTCTCTCAATATTTGGTATGAGCTCTCTTGTCCAGTTCATAGTCACCACCTGGTCAGTTTTAGAAGCCCCTTGCTGGCTTACTCACCTACCAGTTTCTACTTTAAGCAAAGGTAACTATCCTGCCTAAAATCTTTTAAAGATCCTATTCACACTCCTTAAATCCAAACTTTTATGACTCTTTACAAAGCTTCACATAAACTAGTCTATGCCTATTTGTGACCTTGCACACATTTAGATTAACTCTTTTTCTTAAACCTTAATCACCCTGAACTCTTGTGCTTTCAGCCCTTTGTTCTAGCTGTCTCAATCTGCCTAATCACATTTTTTCTTCTTTTTAAATTTTTTATTTCAGTAAGTTTTGGGGGAATAGGTGGTGTTTGGTTCTAAGGATAAGTTATTTAGTGCTGATTTGTGGGATTTTGGTGTACCCATCACCTGAGCAGTATCTACTGTATCCAATGTCTAGTATTTTATTCCTGACCCTACTCTCACCCTTTTCCCTCAGTCCCCAAAGTCCATTGTATCATTCTTATGCCTTTGCATCCTCATAGTGTAGTTCCCACTTATGAGTATGAACATTCAATATTTGGTGTTCCATTCCTGAGT